TTGTGGGACACTCTTGTGGGACACTCTTGTGGGACACTCTTGTGGGAAACTCTTGTGGGACACTCTTGTAGGAAACTCTTGTGGGACACTCTTGTGGGACACTCCTGTAGGACACTCTTGTGGGATACTCTTGTGGGACACTCTTGTGGGACACACTTGTGGGACACTCTTGTGGGACAATGTTGTGGGACACTCATACGGGACACTCTTGTGGGACACTCTTGTAGGACACTCTTGTGGGACATGCGGGACACTCTTGTGGGACACTCTTGTGGGACACTCTTGTAGGACACTCTTGTGGGATACTCCTGTCGGACACTCTTGTGGGACACTCTTGTGGGACACTGTTGTAGGAAGCTCTTGTGGGACACTCTTGTAGGACACTCTGAGTCTCAAAAACGAGCGTTTCGTAAGAGACTTCCTCCAAAAGTCACACGTCAAGTCTCCAAAACGAGCGTTTCGTACGAGACTTCCTCCAAAAGTCACATGTCAAGTCCCCAAAACGAGCGTTTCGTACGAGACTTCATCAAAAACTCACATGTCAAAGTCTGCAAAACGAACGTTTCGCACGAGACTTCCTCCAAAAGTCCAGCGGAAACACCCATCGGAGCACACACATCACGCAGCCCTGCCAAGCAGTTTCGCGATTCCAGCCCCTCCAAACGACACCCGCTCACACGCCAATCCCAACGTGACAGCGACATTCACCTCTACCACAACTCACAACCTCCCGATTCCCTGCGCCTGCCATGAATCTTTCCGCGTCCACACGTCTAACGCGCACAAAGTACTGCGCCTGCCAGTCACCTCCGTCACACATCGCAACCTCACGATTCCCTGCGCCTGCCACGAAAATCCCACTTCCACACCTCAAAACCCGCACAAAGTCCTGCGCCTGCCACGAAAAGTAACAATGTCATCTCATGTGAGCTTCAACAAAATTTGCACCACACCACACGTTTGGAATGATTTCGACCCGTTCTGAGCACACTCCCATCCACCAAAATCGGCATTTCAGCTGAGACTTGTCACGAAAACAGAGCTTCGAGGCCACACCCTGAAACGCAAGTCCCAATGGCACGGCCACATCCAACACCCCAAAAACACGACTCTCCAAACGCTAATCCCAATGGAACTGCGTAGCAAACTGCGGATCTCACAAAACGCTGCGCCTGTGCAGTGAAATGCATCACGCTTCTTGCGCGACATGTCCTTTTCACGCAAATCACAATGGACTCGCGTCGCAAACTAACACGTGACACATCCATGCATAGTCACTTGCAAAAGCTTCCCCCAATGGCAGCGCCTTAGCGACCTACTGCGAACGGTTGCGGACGGTTGCGAACATAGAAGCAACGGGTCGCGAACAAGACTCTACCCCCAGACCCCCAGAGTTAAACGAGAACCCTTCGCTACGCATTCGGGAAAACATCCCGGAAACCTTTGCTTAGTCATTGTGAATCTTATGAAAGAAGTGTTTGAATTTGAGCGAAGAGGTCCCATAGGAATAGAGGCGTGACCATGAGAAAGGGGTGCCCATGTCTTGGAGAAGAAGGCAGGTTTCCTCGTGACAGCTTGGATTCAAACATTGCGTCAAAGTTAAAGCGAAAGGAGCGAGGACAAGTGCGGTGGTCTTTGATGGTTTTTGCGAAGAATAGAACCATCGCTGTCAGGGCTGAAGGCTGGCTGAGTTGGTCTGTCGCGCCCCGTGAGCGGGCAACGGAATTGGAGGACTCAGAACCCACTGTCAGAGCTGAAGCTTAGAGAAACAAGGATCAACAGGCAGAGATTCCAAGATAAAGAGAAACATCAAAAGTAAAGCGTTGAGAAGTTTCTGTAGAATTCTATCGAAAAGCTAGACACCGCGAGAATAAACTTTACCTACCACATCATAAATCACTACATTACTCGTCAGCACGCTTCACTTCGCTTGATCACTACTCTTGCAGATCACCGGTTCACCACCACATCACAAGTCGCCGCCTTGCGCTTCAGCACTGCATTCACCAGTTCGAAGTTCACAGCTAATCACATCTACTCTTTACAAGAATGCCCGCGTAAAAAATATTAAACAAGCAGAGTCTACGAACAAGAACAGAGAGTCCCTTCGCAACAAGACAGGCTTGATTACGAGAAGACATGTCCATTCACAAGAGGAGAGCGTTGAACTAGAACACGGAGGCTCATTGACAAGAAGACAAGCTTGACAGGCCCTTCACGAGCACACTGGTTTCACTATGAGCTAGCTTTCTTGCCCATGAGAGAGGACGTGTGGAATGGGAACAGAGAGGTCTCATCGCAAGAAGACAGGTTTGATTGTGAGAAGACCTACCTACTTCTCACATTATGGAGGCCTCATTGCGCGAAGAAAGGAGGTTTGATTCAGTTTGATTCCGACTTTCCTGAAGTGTGAGAAGGGTATTTTGCTCGTAAGAGCCGGTTTGAATAGGACACGGAGGGCCCTTTTGCTAGAAGAAATGTTTGGGAAGGCCCCTTTCTACGAAAACAGGTGTGACGGCAGCATCTTGGATTTGCACTGCTTTTGAGGCCAGAAACAAACCTTGAAGCTTGGTGCGACCAGTTCCAAAGAGCAGCTCGAGAGGAGTGCTCCTTCCACGCTGAGTATTGCAACAGATTATCAGATTATCATAGGAAAAATTGACAGCAAAGATCAGCAAAGCTCCTTGATGTGGAGGCCATGCAAAATGCCTTCTAGTAACCGAGACAATACCTCTTCACCTGGGATAGCTCAAAGCTAGTCCCAAAGCTACTTGCAGTCTGGACCCCCTGTCGTCATTCCTAGATTCCAGAACATTGGCCCTTGGGGTTCTTACTTCACCATGTTCTTTTACAAATGGTAACTTTGTGGGCATGTTGCATTGGTGTGCAAAGAATATGCCTGAAGTGGCTGTGATTGGTTTTCAGTTGAGGACTTCTACAAAGTGTGGAGGTCTTTGGCTGTGCCCAACTGCAGTGGCGCAGATGCACAATGATGTAGTTTTAGCAAGATGTGCTCGTCCCTCAACGTGATTTTGCATGCTGAAACGATTTGCCTAGTGGTGTGCCTTGCTTGAAAGGTGGTGATTTGGATGTGATGTTGGATGAAATCCTTCAGGCGATGAGTGGCGAGGCACTGCTACTTTAAATAATTATCACTTGCCATCGTGCAAATTCCATTGCAAATTTCTGCAAGGTGCACACCGTTATGATTTGTGCATGTTCGAAGGTGAAGCTCGAAGATGCGGCAAAGGCAGAGAGGGCTTGCCAAAAGCTGCTCAAAAAGTGCTTTGCGAGACTCTCAGACCCAAAGACCGAGACCTTTGACCAAAGCTGCAAACGAAAAACTCCATAGCTCAGGCTGCTCTTGATTTGGCAGTAAGTGCCTTGACGTTTGAGCTCGCACCTTGGTTTTTCTTTTTCGCACTTTCGCTAAATGTGACCAAGATGAGTCAAGAGGCCTGTCAAACCATCTACAACGCCAGGCGGGAGTTTGTGCAGTTCCAACTCTCGGATTCCACGAATTCTTCCAACGCACCTCATCAGATTGCAGCAGATTGAGTCGGTACTGGCCCAGAAAGCCTGAGCTGTGCTGGTGCTGATCTTGGCCTCATAAAGTTCAGAGCAGTCAAGAGCTTGCATTGGAAGTGCGTCAATAGCTGCAAACAGAGCTCCATGCTCAATCTTTGGCACTTACTGAGCGGGCAAGGTATGACCCAGCCATGATGCCAGTTGCATTTCACTCGCAGGAGAGAAGTTGTGCCAGGGCTTGACGGGCAGACCCTGTATTATGTTTGATCTAAAGATGATATAAAACGCATTGTAAATCAAGTCTCACAAGTCAGGCAGGCTTGAGTTCACGTGGTCACAGGAAATTTGCTTGGACAAGATAGAGTGAGTGCAGGGACAAGTACATATATATGTTTGGGTGCTTGACCATCTCCTGTGGGGTTTGCTGCATTCTCGATGGTGTCACCACTGGTTTCGAATGATTTGTCTTTCTTTTGTTTCTTCTCAGATCCTCTTTCTTTTCTTCCTTCCTTGATGTTCCAGTTAACTTTATTTCTTTTGTTGTCAAAGCCCTCAGGCTGTGCACAGCTCCGTGGAAGTAAGACTTGGCAGCATGAGGCTGCACTAGGTTGGTACCTATTTTTCAGGTCGCACTGAAAAGCAATTGGTGAGGAAAGTCCACGGACCACTACAAGACAGAGACCGCTGGGAGAGAACTGGAAGAAAATTGCAAATCTGAATACTGTACACAAACGCATAGTTCCCGGCGCAGTAGTCTGTACAACACTGGCAACTTGCTAACTTGCCGACAAGGAGGACTAATGGACCAATATTCAGCACTTACCAATTGGTAGTAGGAAACGAATGTTTGACTTTGGTAGTGCTTCGTTCTTTGATGCTTTGCTATGGAGCATTCACGGACATAGTCAGGGCCATGGCTTTCATCATTTGTACAACATGGCAGATCACCAGAGCATTCAGATTGGAGTGCGCTGGACAATAGAACTGTAGACTTTGCACCAGGACGTCGAAAGGTTGGCAGAGAGCAAGCTGGAATTTCAAGCACACCCACCAGACTCCACTGAAACTGTAGTTGACTCAGAGCACTTGGTTATGGAAACCTTTGTCCAGCTCATAGTGGTCTCATTGTACTTGCAGGCCTCAGGAAAGGAAGCAAAGAGCCAGGTGCATTGCGCCAGTGAGAGGTATACCAGGTAGTTCATTGTTTCTTGGTGACAGTTGCAGTACTTTCCCCATGTACATTCGTGTGAAGTCCTTTTGACTCGTCAAGCTTTTGTTCATCCCAATCCTTGTGCTTGTTCCTTCTTGATCCGTTGAATAAAAGGAACTTTCATTTCAACAGCAACAGTCAACAGTACCCCTGTGTTTTTTGATTCCCTGCATGTTTTGGCTGCTTAAAGCAACTTATTGTTTCCAGTTCTTTGCACAGTGCTGGCAATTCAAACTCCCTTTGTTTGTGACACCTGTTTTTTGACCGGAGGTTCCACTACGCCGAAGTGCGTGTGGCCTCACCACGCCGGACAAACATAAGCAAGGAGCATCCAGACAGACAAGGAGCGCTGGGTGTTGCGTGCGTTGAGAGGACAGGGCGGATGTGCTTTGAACGAAAGCTTGTTTCAAAAGAAGCATCCGAATGGTTGGGAATGGTCAAATGCATAGTCCCACCACCTGCATGAAGCTTTTTTCATGCCCGAGTTTTTGAGCAGAACCCCACCACAGATCTACCAGAATCTACCATTTTGACGCATGTTTAAAATGTGTTCAATATTTTTCCAAGCAAGGACTTTTGTTTGTTTGACTGGGTACCATACACGCATGGCTCAAGGCACAGGTGCTCAAGGGGTGCCACAAGAATCGTCTAGTACGGATCCCCCTTGCACCGCGTGCTATATCACGGTGTTCTTGGAGGGTTGCACCGCCTCTGACTTCTTAGATTACCACTGACCACCCTCTACTTTGCCCATCATCGTGGAGAACTTTGGCATCTCTATCACAACAAATACAAGATCACCTTGGCAAGGACAGTCTCTGGCTTCTTGGGCCTTGCGTTGCCCCTTCGGCCTTGGGAACTTTGCCAACTGCCAGATCACTTTGCCCGTGACCCTGCATCACATATAGCAGGAGGGCCTGAACGTGCTCGGTGCTGACATCCCATGACTTGGCATCGCGCATACACCGCATGCTCCAATACTAGATGCCGGAGTTGGGTGTGGATGGACACTACTATGTGGAACAGCTTGGCAGAGATCTCAGGCCACTGCAAAGGGAAAAGGGAATCGAAAAGGACACGGCAGGGGGCTTTGCTGGAGCTACCGCCAGGTGCATCCACAGTCCACAGCTCCAGACTCTAGAGTCTACGCCGGACGCCCCGCCGGAAGAAGTCAGGGCCAAGCTTCAAGAGTTAGGCGTTGGACCGCCAACCACACAGCCAAAACCCAGGCTTTCGAATTTGCTTCGAGATCTCAGCCCCACAGCCACAGACTGACAAAGAAGTTGGCTTGAGACTTTGTCCACCAGAAAACACGCGGGGCCGCTCATTCCTCGGCGACTTTGACAGGAACGCGTGCGCAGACAGCAACAGCAGAGACGAAGACAGCAGCGTTGATCTACAGAATGAGCACTTTTCCCGGACTCTGGTACAAGGAGAGGAAGGCCGTTCAGAATTGCAAAGACGTCTTCATCACACAAGTCTATTTATCAGGCCTCAACACAAGACCCTGCGCGTCAGAGACCCCGACTCCTCTTGGGTCTGCCTGGGTGAGAGCGACCTTGAGGAGAAGAGGCCTGGTTGAATGAGAGACAGCAGAAGTGGAGAAGGGAGCGGTTGGAGTTTCGTGAGGAGGAGGGAAGAGGATGAGCGTGGTTGCAGAGCTGCGTGAGGAGGATTCATTGTGAGAGGACTCGTTGTGGATGGTGGGGCGCTTGAAGAAGCGGATCCAGACAGGAAGCGTCGACAAGCCTGTGAGAACGCGCCAAAGTACATGGAAAGGAGGACTATAGTATGTTATGTTCTTTTGGCTGCCGCTCATCCAAGGAGCAGCGCAGCAGGACCGAGAGATCCAAGAGACACAGTCACAACAAGCTTGGAAGAGATGAACGAACAGAATGAAATTCTGCATAGCAGAAAAGTATTAGCAAATGCGTCGCAATAGCAACATCCCTAGCGGACGACAGGCCGAAAGCACACTCACGTGAGGAGGAGTGTGAAACACTTTCATCATGTCGCCATAGGATCACACACGCGCGCACTCAAATGAGAAGTGTACCGCTGAGCCCTTGTCGCATCCCAAAAATTCACAATAACTTTACACTGTGAGGTGCTTGTTCCCCACATGCTAGTGCGGGGTTCTTACTTTTTGTCGCGCCTGCCCAACTCCTTCTCCCACGCTGCTCCTCCTCCACAACTCACTCACACCAACTCTCACGCACGCACACACGCACACACACACACCAAGCTTCCACCAACTCATTCACACCAACTTACACGCGCGCGCACACACTTATAGGAATGCGTACTGACTTGACAGCGGTGCCACACGCCAGCCCAAGAAACCAAATCCTGAAAAACCAGGTGAGGGGCCGAGCGCCTTTAGTTAAAGGCCAAAGTTCCAACTCCACGAGGCGACGAACAGGTCGAAGTGACGGCGGTCGCTCTTGTCTGCAGAGTGCACTCGCCCTTTATGGAAGATGAGGGTGACAGCTTGCAAACGCCATAACCAAGCAGGTAACTGGATTCTGCGTCCAGAATCCATATCAGTGACTCGAAACAGCCTCTTCGTTGGACTGCCACTGTTACAAGTCAGGCAGCCCCCTGCTGTCGACCGAAGCAAAAAAGCAAGCAGCGCATTCCAAAAGGGTCCCTGTGATTCCAAGGGTCACACACATACACCAACCTACCCGCGCGAACTTATGCACACATGGTGGCGTTGAAAGTCACGGCATTGAGGATGACGGCGTTGAAATATCGCTAGCCAACTTTCTAAAGGGCGCCGACTAAAGTCTGCATAATTGTTTCAACTATACCATGGGCAGGCTTGGGGTCTAGACAAGTTTTGCATCAAGCAAGATCGAGATTTGTGATTTGTGTACCTTATTGCTTTGCGCGTGGCAGACGGTGTGATTGGTGTTACTGTTTCGCGTCTCCACGAACGCCAATCTTCCTGGTTCCGTGTATTGGCGCGATGTTTGGAAACAGATCGTGATCTTGGTCTTGCTCACCGTGTGCGTTCTGCCACCAACTGTGGGCAATTCAGCGTGGCTGTCCGGTCCTGCGGCTCTGCGCCATGTTGCAGGCACGCGGACATGGACCTAGCGTTGGCTTTTCAAACACGCTCCAAAGTCCTGTTTTGGCTGATGACTTAGGACAGGCGCGCTTTCTACCAGATCCCATTCTTGGGATTCTCCTTCGTTCCTAGCCCTCAGTATTTCGCCGTATCAATAAAATCAAAACTCAAACTGGGCGCATCTCAAATGAAAGCGTTAAGAAAGATTTTAGGCATGGCTACCGAGTACATAGTACATAAATCGTGCCAACGCAAACGCAGATGTGTTCAGAAGAGCAAATTCACCACATCTCCAGTAATCACCTCGCAAACAAAATCCTACCCGCCCAAGAAGCCTTGAAGACTCGAAGGATTGCGTTAGCCAGGAGAATTCTTCGCCATTCTTCGCCCATGAACGCCCGTGAGAATGGTAAGCTTCAAAAAACGATTCAGCGTCTCCACCCAAACAGTGGACCAGACCTACAATACCTGGCGTTATCGTTGGAGCCAAATCCGACATAGCAAGTTGACTTTCATAAATCTTGAGCGGTTGGCTCTAATCCTCGACGCCGCCAACAGGTAACAATTTTGAAAACCGCCCTTACCAATTTGATGCCTCGACTTCGAAACAAATCGATTCTGTAATTTGTTTGCGCTTCTCTTACATTATCAAGTTTTAAGTCTATCTTTGCCAGCCAGGCAATGGAAAGTTGATTTTTATTGTTTTTTCATTTAGATCTTCATTTAGATCATCATTTTTTACAAAATATTTTTGTCTTATTTTCATTTATTTTGGGATTATCAATTTTTTGGCGTCATGCTCATCCTTCCCGAACTGGTTGGCTTTGCTGTCACTTCCCATGGGCTTCCAAAATCACTTCAGTCACAGTCAGCGCCCCAAACTATATATAGATGCGTGAAGGGATTCCCTCACCATTCCCTTCCCGGGCAATCGAAACCAAGGTTCAAAATCATGGATTGCAACCTGCAAGCTGCTGAGCTAAACCACTGGGCCCCAAAAGCCTGAGCCTAGTGGCCTAGTGGCCTAAAAATTTGTCATGCAGGGATGGGAAGTAAAACAGGTTAGTGAAGAGACAGCCCTGAACGAAAACTAAAATTACACACGAAATTGTCAGAAACAATATAAACAATTATGACCCACATGAAGACCAAAATGACAGATGAAAAGAACATGATTAACCAAATGAAAACCAACATCACAAATGAAATAAATGATGCACCAAATGAACAACAAAATGACAAATGAAAAAATGAGGAAGCAAATGAAAACCAAAATGCCACAAGAAAAATAATGCAACAAGATGGAACCCACGAACCCGAATGCAAATACGTTCGAAAAACTACATATGTCCAAACGACACTCTTGTAGGACACTCTTGTGGGACACTCTTATAGGACACTCTTGCGGGACACTCTTGTGGGACACTCTTGTAGGACACTCTTGTGGGACACTCTTGTGAGACTTCCTCCAAAAGTCAAGCGGAAACACCCATCGGAGCACACACATCACGCAGCCCTGCCAAGCAGTTTCGCGATGCCAGCCCCTCCAAACAACATCCGCTCACACGCCAATCCCAATGTGACAGCGACATTCACCTCTACCACAACTCACAACCTCACGATTCCCTGCGCCTGCCACGAATCTTTCCGCGTCCACACGTCTAACGCGCACAAAGTACTGCGCCTGCCACGAAATGTCACCTCCGTCACACCTCGCTACCTCACGATTCCCTGCGCCTGCCACGAGAATCGCACTTCCACGCCTCAAAACCCGCGCAAAGTCCTGCGCCTGCCGCGAAAAGTGACAATATCATCTCATGTGAGCTTCATTTGCACCACACCACACGTTTGGAATGATTTCGACCCGTTCTGAGCACACTGCCATCCACCAAAATCGCCATTTCAGCTGAGACTTGTCACGAAAACCGAGCTTCGATGCCACACCCTGAAACGCAAATCCCGAAGGCACGGCCACATCCAACACCCCAAAAACACGACTCTCCCACACGCTAATCCCAATGGAACTGCGCAGCAAACTGCAGATCTCACAAAACTCTGCGCCTGTGCAGCGAAATGCATCACGTTTCTTGCGCGACATGTCATTGTCATGCAAATCACAATGGAATAGCGGCGCAAACTAACGTATGACGCATCCATGCAAAGTCACTTGCAAAAGCTTTCCCCAATGGCAGCAAATTTGAGACGCGACGACGACGACAAAAGAAGAGAGACGACGACGCGACGCAAGCCATGCAAACACAGCTCCAACCC